TTGAGCAGACAATCAAGGAACCCGGGATGAAGTGCAAAAACACCTCCAGTAGGGAGTTGATATCTATAATTCTGTCAAAAAATGCAATTCCTGCAATAAATCTTCTAATTCTGCTAATAAAAAAATTTAGATATGCCCTCAAAAATGAATGCAATTCAGCCAAAAAATCTAATTCCACCAACCAAAAAGTTCCATATTTGAACAACCACTAAATTCCATATATGCCAACAACAAAATTCCAAAATCTAAAAAATTCAATTTTACCAACAACAAAATTTAATTTTGACAAAAATTTGAATTAAATTCCACCAACAAAAAAATCCTAACTTACTAGCAAAAAATCCTAATTCACCAACAAAAAAATCCAAATCCACAAACAAACAAGTTCCAATTACCTCAACTAAAAAAATCCAAGTCAAATCCAAAACAAAATGATTCCATTTTTGCCAGGAAAAAAAATCTGCCAACGAAAAAATGCAATCCGGATAACTAAAAATCCAAATATGCTAACAAGAAAAATCCAATTTCACCAAAACAAAAATTCCAATCCCACCAATGTAACAAATCCAAATAAGCAAAAAAAAAAAATCTGCAATGTAAAAAATAAAAATCCGATACAAAAACTTCAAAATCCGGCTACAATATATATAAATAAAATTAAATAATAAAATAAAAACTTTTTATATACCTGCATTGACACAAAGTATGTTATTATTTTTGGTTTATTATGTAAAGATTTTTGCTGTTTTCGTTTACTGTTCGTATGGAGATTGCTGTTCATAGGCGTGTTGCTTCCTAAATTGAATTACATTAGTCTTTTTAGTTATTTAGTAAAAAGAAGCTGTTAATAACTGGATTGAATGTGATGGAGGTGTTATTGAATTTGCTGAAATAAAATAGTTGGTGAATGATTGGTTGGTTTTCTTCGGACTTGGATATTTTCTTTTTCTATGGAGTTGAGCTACATAAATAATATAACAGAGGAGTATAATTTTTTACTTGTAATTCGCTATCGATCTTTCAAATGGTAGAGTTAACTTACGAAACACAAAGAATGCAGGTTTTTCAAAATGATTTTCGTGCTTGTTGCACGAATTGACATGCATTTACGCCAAAATTCAAGGTAAAAATAAAAAGATGGTGTTGCCATTGTAACGTACGATTATGTTACGTTGTTGAGTAGATTAGATATACGGTGTTTAGTGGGTTTCATATTTATTTTGTAGTCTTGGATACAGCAGTGTCGTAGACGTTGAGACGGAGCTTGGAGCAGAGCAGAGAGTTGAGTGAGGCCGGAGTCGTGGAGCACTGTGGGAGAGCGTTGTAGCTCGATGCGGTCCTAGATCGCTGTCTGTTCTGTGTCGAAGCTGTAGCGTCTTGAGGTCGATTAGAACTGCATATGCCGAGTGATACATTCTTGACTGTGGAAATTGTACTGTTGGCTATTCTCATATCGCTTGCTTATATTTGGTGACTACACCTTTGCTCCCTCCAACAGGATGAAAAGAGTATTACCTGTAATTGGGGAAAGGATTGTAGTTTCTGTAATTAGTGTTAATTAATTATGCCATTAATATAATGAGACTGAAGTGAGTATAAGGTTTATTCGCTACAGGACTCCCCCTGCCATGGAATGAAAGAAAAGCAATACGACAAAAAATAGGAGGCTACTGTTCCCTGGGTCGCTGTGGAGCATGTAGTTCGGTACCAAAACCTGCAGGCTGTGTGAGGACAAGTCGGTGTAGCAGGAGAGAAGAATGTGCATGATTGTTGCGTCCTTGGGTCGCTGGTGGAGCATTTAGATCCGGGGCGGATGGGCTCGGGCACTAGGGCAATAGGAGGTAATGTAGGCACGTAGTTAGGACAACGAGGGAATCACTGGTAGAGCTGAATTGTTCTGGAGGCGACGAAGAGTCGGAAACGCAAGCTGTAAGTCCTGTACTTTGCAAGGTGCTTGAGAGGGTAGAGTATCAGAATGCAGTGAACGTGTAGATGAATCTGACGAAAGAGCAGCTTTCGTGGGAGTCCTGTAAAACAAGCATTGCCCCTGGCAGCTACGAAGAGTCGGCAGGACAGGCTGTAGATCTCACATGATGTAGTTGCTGACGAAACTGTCAGATGAGAAAGTAACACTTGCAGTGCAGCAAGCTGTAGTTGATGAAAATGCAGATAAGATCGCGGTGAAAATCACAGCTGTGGCGAGAGTGTTGGCAGCGTTCCATGACAGGTGGCAACAGTCGACAGCAAGCAGCAGCAGCAGTTTAAATATCTTGCACATGCCAACAGAGTATATAATACTTTATGTAATGATTTTGTTCTTTCGTTTTTAAGTATAAAACTTTTTTATTTATCGAGATGTGCTTAAAATTGGATAATTTATTTTAGCAATAAATGCATGTTTGATGTGTAATAACTATGAAATTTGACATAGAATTTGATCAGGTTGAATTTTCTTAATATGTGTCCTCGGTGATCTTCCTTAAGTTTGAATATATGGTGTTCAAGTATTCCTTGATCATTGAAATAAAGCTATAGTTGACACTGATTATGACTTTGGACTATCTAATATAATTATTAGAAACATACAAATTAACGAAATTACTTCAAATTTAGAAGAACTAAGAAATGCCCAGAGGCCTAAAAGCTGCAGTATTAAAAGTTATGACAATTTTTGTAATAATAGGTATTTGTATGGTCAGCACAGTAAACGGACCTAGCAATATGATGTAGTCATTGTGCGAATTTGCCTTGGCTGTAGGCACATCTGGCAGGTTAGTGAGGCTGATCAACTATCCGAAAATTCAGATTGTAAACTCTGTGACAAACCTTTAGTGCATTCACTAGAACACTATATTGTTGAATGTGAAACCGTAAAAGATTTTAGACCTCCTGGCCTATTGTACCACAAACTGTGTAACTATTTCATTGAATCTGGTGTACTAGAGGACATCCTAATAATTTATCCAAAATTTGCTTGTCCATTTTAAAGAATGAGGAGCAATTTTATTTATATTATTTTTAAGCTGCATCAATTACGAACCCATCCCTGCCCTTGTGTGGCAGTGCACTAAAAAAAAGTTGTATATACATATTCGTTCATTGAAAAATTGCTTGTAACCATGATATATATGTGCTTCAGTCTACAGTTCAGACCTATTGTCTTGTATATGATCCTCTGTCCTGTGTGACACTGAATACCAGCATTATCCTCATTCTAATAAGACTTAATTGAATTCCTCAGATTAGGCAAAGTGTAATTAAATTTTATCAATAAAGATGTTAATAATAATAATAAGTAGTTTTCGAGTGAAATTCAACAATTTAACGTTTGTAAATACCTAATAGAGCTTGTGTAAATTGCCAAACGAATAGGTTTTCGTCTTTTTCAGTGGATTTGAATGAAGACGTTGCATAAGACCAAGTTATTTGACAAATCTGACACACACCAAGGTTTGGTTAGGTTGAGTTAGGTTATATCAGGTCTTGTTAGTTAGGTTAATAATATGTTGATCTATTTTCCAACTTTAGGTTGTCAGAGCTTACCTTAAAAGTAATGGCACGTTTAAGTGATAGCAATGTCGCTTGTGGAAATTTAAATTGCATTGCTATAGAATATCCTTTTCCAAGGACCCTAGAGCAGGTAAGCAGGGGCGAGGTTGCAGAAATCTTGAGCTAAGAACTGGAGTCGAGTTGAAAAGGGGAGAAAAAGATCGGTGGCCCAATCACCGTGGATCAGACTTGCAGCTGATGCTGTGGTTTGGTGGTAGGGAGGAATTCTCTTGATTGCTCGCTGATGTGTCTTACAGGTAGCCGGGCATCTACACACAGGACTGGGCTCGCAAGCAGCTGGCAGTTGATGGTAGGTGTTGCTAGTATTTCTTCATTCTTTGGTCTTAATGCTTCTTGGGTCTTCATACTTCTTGAGGTCTTCATTCTCCTTGGGTCTTCTATCGTTGATCTTCAGGCTTCGGTACTCTGCTTCTTTCTTATTCTTATAAATTTCAGCGAAGTTGGATCGTTGTTCTTGGGAATAGCGGAAGTCGCAGATGTCTTATTTCTGGTTGACATTGCTGTGCTGTCGTTCGAGGTGGTGTCCTCTAGGTAGTCATCAGATGTGTAGTGTGCCTTCCGCTGAGGAGTGGATGGTGTTCCCAATGAGACATCTTCGTCTGACGAATCAGTTGAATCAATAGTTGAGGTGGTGTTCCTTGGAGGTTGAGTAGTAGCTCGTCGTGGTGAGGGTTGCGGAGTATTTGCTATGGCTTCAGCTAAAGTAGAAGATTAGATTGGCATATGCACAGTTCGTAGAACGTTGGTAGTAATCTTCATGGAAGTGGCAGGAACGTTGTCGGGTGGAGAGCTTCTTGGGTCAGGTGGAGGGATCGCCACAGGTGTTGCAGGCTATGCAACACCTGTGTCGAGGCCATTTCCGTTGATGGTGAACGTTGAAGGTAGTTAAGCCGTTTGCAGCATCCAACACATTGAGAGTTGTAAAGAACAAACTATTGTCAGTTCCAGCAATCCTCTCAGCCAGTCGCAGCAGAGCAGGTACCAGTCCAGCGTCTGAAGTAGGTCGAGTCTGGGCTGTTGATTGGACGCTGGGTCCCCAATGAGAAGACTAGGAAGTTCGTGGACAGGAGGCCCCGTCTGGTAGATCAGGAAAATCTTCTGATTGGTTGATGGGTCCGGAAGGGTTGGGGCGAGCGCTGGCTGAAGCGGCGTCGCTGGTGGTTGAAGAAGGAGTCCTCATATCAGCCATTTTCTTAATTTCCTCTTGTCGACGTGGGAAATGCCAACATGATTCCCAACGTAGAGCCGACAATGTTGGAAATCAGTCTTGCAAATGTAGTAATGGTGGTCTTCTGCACAGACTCTGCACTCGGAGAAGGGTTCAGGACATTTCTTGGTGGAGTGTGTATACTTGTAATACTTGAAGCATTGTTGGAGATCGTAATAGCATATTTTCTTTTGATATGGGCCTATGGAATCTTGACTCCAAGGCACTTAAGCCATTGCATAGCAATGTCCGCCTCAGCGATAGTGCTGAAGGTCAGTTTCATGGCCAAGTCTTCACCAAAGGGACAAATGACGATGATATTGACTGGTATCAAGGGAGGATTCTCTTCTTTGATTGCATCAATGATATCTTGAAGTTCTCGTTCGGTGATCCACTTGCTGAGTCTATGGATGAAGGAAGCTCTCTCAGCACGGTGCCGGTGAGAGAGTCAGGCGGATTTGCGCTTCTTCAAGTGCATATTTGATGGGAGCTGATAGGAAGTGGTCAGTGTTATCCTCTCGTGCGTAGAGGAGCACCACATCCGTACCCTCCTGGCGAGAGTCGACGAGTGTGACATTGGTACAGGTGGAGAGGGTTTGCAATAGGTCGGTGGTGCTGAACACATGATCGTCTAGAAAGGTAGACACCACTCTCTAGAGGGTTCTCTAGTCTTGGTGTAGCGTAGTATCTTTGGATCAGTACCTAGTACTGTACGACTGTACATACTGAAGAAGGCCTTCCATCTTTTCCTGGTATAAAAAAGCAGGCTAGGAGTGGGGCTGACCTTCTAGAGTAAAGCCCTCGTGATCGTGGTGTCTAGCAGAGTGGACACGTCTGCTTCCGACGATCGTTGAGTGCAGAATCATCTGTGATCATCGTGATGTTTTTCCGATAAAATATAAGTAAAGTTTATTTCCTTAGATATTAGTGGGAAAACTGTATCTATTAAACGAGAAGTTTATTATTGAATTATTTGGGTGGTTGTGTAGGATATTGTTGCATGGAAGTTTGGATTTTGTGGGAGAATGGATTTTGTAATTAAAAAACATTGAATGTGAAGGGTATTCTTTGAAATATGTAAGTGAATATGTTCAACATGATTAAGTTTGGCATTTAAAAAAAAATAATGGTAAATTATAGTTTGTTACTAGTTTGATGACCAAAGGGTTTGGTAGGGTGGGTGGGGGAAGAAGATAAGGGATATGGATCAGGAAATAGGATGGGGATGAAGTATCAGTGGGATGAAAAGTGTAGTGGTCAGTCCACTTTGCCTTGGAAGTAGTGTTAATGTGGAGTAAATGATGAGCATTTTTGGTGTGTGAGTATAGCAGCTGGACTGGCTAGTGAAGACAGGCTGAGGTGGCCAGCAGGAGATGGACTGAAATTAGGGCTTTTGGAAAAAAGCTTCACCAATCAAACTCTCCCTAACATCAAACTTTCTGCACGGTTGTCCTCAGTATGTTTTTGTATAGTGTAGTGCATGTCTTTTTTTTATGTTACACATTAAATGAAAATTGGATCTGAGGATCCAGTCCTCAGGGTCTTTAGGTAAGTCTTCAATGATGTGTGGTCTCGAAAAGTTTGAACTATGAATGTGTCTCAGGACTTTCTATCGAAGTCATATACGTCATATACGACGAGTCGTATATGAAGGTCCCTGAATTTCGTAATCACTAGTTATGTTTGTGATTACTAGGGGTCTTTTTGGTCTGGGATTGAAAAAAGTTTTCATTCTATATAACCGTTTACTGGAGAGGTGGCTAAGTCAGATGTTCATGGTCATTATCTTGAGTGATCTGAGGATTTGGTCAATTATCACTGTCTCCTAAGAATTAGCTCGCTGCGAAGCGGAGGGCCCTATTTTGAATTTGATGAATTTTCTTTATGTTTGTTCTGTTTGTCAAGCTCATGGGTGTGCAATGGTACTCCAATGCAGGTATGCTAATTATTTTATAAAGGTGGAGATTAACGTGAGTTTAACGTTTAACATAGTTTGATCGAATCTATATCTTGATTTGAAACTTTTGGCTATTACCGTTTTTCTGAGATATACTATTTGGAGTTGAAGAGTCGGCTGTTGTTATAACTGAGGACTATTATTTTTTATCGCTAATCAGTACCAACGCTGCTGATTTGATTCTTGTCAGGGCTGGTAATAATTCACCTTTTCCTCTCACACTCTACTGTCAGAGCTATTCTCAGTATTCACCTTTCTCGTTACCATGGGAATCTTAGATCTTTCTCCCTGGTTTTGATGTTATGATATGGGTCACATCATTTGCAAATTGAGTGATAATTGCATCTCCGTATTTTGGTTGTGGGAATAAGCTGAATAACCTGGGACTCAAGCATGAGCCCTGAGGAACACCAGTTGCTGGGGTGGCATTCTTCCTATTGAAGCAAAGTGTAACTCTTCTGTCAGAAAGTTTCTAATCAGCCGCAAGACAGTCCAGTTTTGTACTGGTCTGTTTACTCAAATGCAAACCAAGAAGAAGGAAGAGTAATAATTATTAATTATTTTTATTATTATTATAATAATAGTTATAATAATAATTGTTGTTATTACTAATTATTACTCTTCCTTCTGCTTGGTCTTGAAATAAGCCGGAATCGGGTGAAAGAGGGCTGTGACGATCTCTGTCTGGAATTCGTAGGTGTGGAGCTCAAAAGTCCGCCTCCAGAGGGCCTCGTGCGGCCCAAGCTCTGCTTCAGTAGGCTGGGGTCGTTCTTGCCCTTGCTGGGGTTGTTCTTCTCCGGAACCGAGCACGGCGGTCTCCGGGTTTGGAGTCCCTGTGCCTTCTTTTACCAATTTGGAGGTTATCTCCGGAGCTGGCGCCCCTAGTGCAGTTCGTTGTTGCCTGCAACCTTGTTCTGACAGTTCTTGCGACGTCCCTAGAACCAAACGTTTTGGCGCTTGCTTTTCCATTGGAGACTTTCGGCGTCGTGGAGAGGGGGGAGGGGGACCTGTTGCTTGGGTAACAGCTTCTCCTCCATATCAGCCTACCCTGGCTTTGCACCCTGGCGAGGCCACTCCAGACTGACAACCAGAGCGCAACTCCATACTCTCGTATGACTGGTGGCTGCCTACTAGGTGTTTGCTAGTTTGTACTCGTGACCTTCGTGCCATAAGCTGCCAAAGGCCTTGGGCACGTTTGTAGTAGCTATTTCGGAAACCTAATTTTTTAAGCGAATGCTGGAGTCCGCATCATAGATGATGTTACTTGCATGTTGCGTTGATCGATGACTCCTAAACCCAAACTGATTTTCTGTTTACAGGTTGTTACATTCGAGATAGTAATTGTGACGGTTAGAGAGGATTTTCTCGAAGCCTTTCCCAAATGTTTCCAATAGGGAGATGGGTCGATAATTCTCTGCAATGATTGTCCCTTTTTGCCTTTGGGATCAATACCATCTACTCCATTTTACAAACTTTCTGGATGTATCCTGTGGCCAGGATCGCATTGTGAACGTTGAGAATTGATTGCATGTAGTTACCCGGCAGAAACTGCATCTGTTTTGCGCTTACGCCTGAAGGTACTCTTTATGACACTTGCCATATCCAGTCTGGTGATCAGTCTGGTCATGGTATGGTCTATTATAAAGGTTGTTGTATCAATAGCAGGAGTACTTATCATAGTATCTAGGTTGGAATTAAACCATTGGTTCACGCTACTGAAGTTTGCGTTGAATTGGGCGTGTACTGATGAAGTCTTTATGGTGGAGGCCGTTAGGATCTTTCTCCATACTGAACCTACGAGGTCTGCCTGGTCACGCGGACCTCAATACTGTTTGTTTGTTATTGGTCATCCTCACCTAAAAAGGTTTGGGTGAGGTATAAGTTGAGTTGCTGACAAGGCAAGCAGTTGTTTGAGTTTTCTCCAGATGGCACCTGGGTCCGTTGTAATTGTTAGCTTGTTTGACTAGATTCCCCTAGATGTGCCTACTGTAGATAATAGTGAGTGCGATGATATCTCTCATGAGGGTCTGTATTGTAAGTGCAGGGGGTTACCTTTTCTGCTGGTGTTGTAGACAGGCCAGTTGGTAGGAATTCATTTTGCCCCATATTCCTCTGGTTAGTGCGTACCTGCTGTACGTTTTAGTGGTGGGTCTCTGGTAAGTTGCTGCAAATGCCTCAAATATGCCGGTATGTATGTCGTTAATAACTTGGTCAATAGTTTGATTCGGTTGTTGGTCTAGCTTTATTATTGTCTGTTGCCAGGAAGGTGTGGTTTGCATGCATTTCCATTGTTTCAAGTCTGGGGCCTTGGTGGGGTCATGAACCTGAATAGAGATGTTTGGAGTTTGATTAATACAGGTACGATCATATTCACCTCCTCTGCGCTTCACCACCTTCCCTACCCTACACCACTTCTACCCGGTGGAGCTGGTCGGCCGAGCGGACAGCACACTGGACTTGTGATCCTGTGGTCCCGGGTTCGATCCCGGGCGCCGGCGAGAAACAATGGGGAGAGTTTCTTTCACCTTATGCCCCTGTTACCTAGAAGTAAAATAGGTACGTGGGTGTTAGTCAGCTGTCACGGGCTGCTTCCTGGAGGTGGAGGCCTGGTCGAGGACCGGGCCGCGGGGACACTAAAGCCCCGAAATCATCTCAAGATCTCAAGATACTATATACTATACTAAAAATCTCAAGATACTGTACTATACTAAATTCTGTCATTATCAATAAACTACATAAGGTAAATATCATATAATCATCATGTTGAAAATAATATAGTGAGGATAGAGTCTGGTATTATAGTGACATAAGAATATAGTATAATTTGCTATTTCATGCAAAAATAGGGGGAGGCCTGACCCACCAATGACCACCCCCCAGACATAGAACAGTTATCCTGCAAAGTTTTGTGAGGCAAGCTGCAGGCGCCTGGCCTCCATCCTCAAACAGATGGACACACAGAAATCCTCGTATAGATAGATATAGTGAGTTCGAAGGTAAGGTTTACAGTTCACATACAAATTTAGTGACAAATATAGATACCTTAAGAGGTTCCACAAATTTGCACCCGCAAGATAACGTAAGATTTTAAGGGTTGACAAATGTTAATCTTCTTGTTCGAGATGTTATCTGCAGTGACAGAATAAACAACCCAGCGGGTTTTCGTCCTATTGAGGGGTGTTGTACATGCTGGTATGGCGGTATGTTCACTCAAAGGATGGGTGGCGCTGCCCAATAACCTCGCCCGTCAGGGCAAAATTAAAAACGGATTAATTTAGTGACGTGCATTGGTTAATAAATTTAGGTCACCTCATGTGAAACCTCATACATAATTACCATCCTAATGTCTAAGAGTTACAATAACAGATCGAGAACCTTTCAGCAATAAATTATTACTGTGCATATTCTGTTACTGCTCCCAGAAAATGGCTCCCAACCTTAATTTTATTAGTCAGGTCCCGTCCATTGGAGCCATCTATGTTTAGTATAAGCTTCGGGAGGTGGGGAGCAAGGGCAGAGTTACCATGACCTGCTCAAGAGCCCCAGTATAGTGGAGGTCATTTGTGGAATGAACTGGGGAAGCCTGAGCCCCAGTAGTAGCCCCTCCTCGGGTACAGCCATGACCTGTAACACTTGGGGGACGGCCCGCTCCTTTTTGTATAGTAGCCAACCCACCAGCTTCACCAGGCTGATAAAGTAGGCTTCACCTTCTCCTTCTCCATCAGCCACGCCACCATTTCCTGGAAAGATGCCTTCAAAGTTTTCCTCTGGTTCTGTCCCGTGGCCCTTCTCATGCATTTCCGGAGACCTGCAGCCTCCTGCCAGATACATCGCGCTTCCTGCGACCTCATGCAGGATTGCAACCCACTTTTTGAGTGTACTGGCTGTCAGGTCTTTTACCAAAGAAATCATGGTGGAGGTGATCCCGGGTCTGAGATACAACAGCATGGGGAAGATGCGTGCGGGCGCCAGGAATCTGTGAGCCAGACTGTGCTTGTAAGAGGCATAGCAGGAAACCAGCGTTCCCTCCACCACTAAAGTTCCTTCCATCGTCAGCGGCACGTACGCTCCTGGGGAAAGCCAACAATAATACAAAATTATTTTACAGTTACTTATACCTACAACAAAATAGTTTTCAAGCAATGCTGAATGAATGAGAGTGTAAAGTATGGGATTTGTAGTACATTTTGTGTTGGCGAAACCTTTCAGTCACACACATCTTGAACCTTCGTCAGTTATTTTTGTATTGATGGTTACCATAGGAGTGTGATGAGAGCAGATGCCTCCCGCCAGTGTTGTGTGGGGCATCTGCTACCACAATACTTGTAACAACCTCATGCTTACTGATCGTTGACAACCACTACCATTAGTTAATGACTCAAGGAAGTGGTTGTCAAGACCAAGGTAGTGGTTGTGTTAACGATTCAAGGTGGTGGTGAAAATGAAAGTAGATACACTTAATGATGAAAATAAGAAGCTCAAATATCTTGTTCAAGAGAGGAAGGCATACAACAAGTCCCCGTCATCGACATAAAGTGAAAACCATTCACTGACCTAGAAAGGTAAGGTAATATGAGCAAGACCAAGGTAAGATAAGCAAGACCAAGGTAAGATGAGCAAGACCAAGGTAAGATGAGCAAGACCAAGGTAAGATGAGCAAGACCAAGGTAAGATGAGCAAGACCAAGGTAAGATGAGCAAGACCAAAAAAAGATGAGAAAGACCATGGTAAGATGTGCAAGACCCTGGAAAGATGAGCAAGACCAAGGTAATATGAGCAAGACCAAGGTGATATGAGCAAGATCAAGGAAAGATGAGCAAGACCAAGCTAATATGAGCAAGACCATGGTAAGATGAGCAAAACCAAAGTAAGATGAGCAAGACCAAGGTATGGTAAGCAAGACCAAGGTAATATATAAAAGACCAAAATATGATATGCAAGACCAAGGTAAGATGAGTAAGACCAAGGTATGGTAAGCAAGATCAAGGTAAGATGAGTAAGACCAGGGTACGATAAGCAAGACCAAGGTAAGATAAGCAGGACCAAGGTAAGATAAGCAGGACCAGGGTATGATTAGCAAGACCAAGGTAAGATTAGCAATTCTAAGGTATGATAAGCAAGGCCAAGGTAAGATGGGCATGACCAAGATATGATAAACAAGACCAAGGTAAGATAAGTAAGACCAAGGTAAGATAAGTAAGACCAAGGTATGGTGAGAAAGACCAAGGTAAGATGAGCAAGACCAAGGTTCCAGATAAGATGAGCACGACCCAGATAAGATGAGCACGACCAATGTAAGATGAGCAAGACTCAGATAAGGTGAGCACGACCCAGATAAGATTAACAAGACCCAAATGTGAGGGAATGGAAATTCCCTCAGCTAGTTTTTCTAGTTTTCTATATTAGGCTAGAGTGTAGGGTGCACTCTAGACAAGAAGTTTTCACACTACCAGCACTTGTGTGGTGTTGGATGAAAGCTTATTCTAAGGACCATCGTTTAAGACTATCCAGAAGTCTGCGACTGCTCTGTAGAGGGAGTTACAGAATTTATCCTGTTTTCTGGGAAATGGGACTTGAGAGTGTGAGGTAGTTCACTTGCCAACTGTTTCATGGGGGGTGGGGGGGCAGAGGGGTGAACGTCGCCTCCCTCCCCCCTCCCCCCCCCCACTCTGTGAGGTATGACGTCACACTCCTAGCCCTCCCCCGCCTTGTGACGTCACGGGACGCCTCAAGGCGTCTCGTCTGTGATTCGTCTAGACATCATCTTGCAGTAAACAAAAATTAAATTAAATTAAAATTAAAATTAAAAAAAATTAAACGTCGTAGAAGCAACAATCTGACAGGACCTTTAAAAGGGGAAGATGTCCTCATTCCACGCATTTCTATGATTCCAACAGATATGCTATTTCAATTTAAGGGGGCGTCTGGTTGGCATCTGGGTCCAAAAATGCAAAAATGAAAACTCGTTCGATTTCAATCAAACTTTTTTTGACAAGTTCTATATGAAAAGTGTTTCATCTGGTCCAAGTTTCAGCATCGTAGCATAAATAGGAAGGGGGAAAATAAATATTGAAGTAGTTGTGAAAATTATGCAAAAATGGTCAAAATCGATTATCAATCAAAAGTGTCAACTGAAATCATAACTATGACTCTTTGCTATCACAATAGCATATATTGAACAAATATTATAATTAGTTTAATTGGAAAAAATTAAGAAAAAAAAGGATTTTTTTTTTTTCATTTTTTTTCGGGCGATTTGCATCAAACTTACACACCTGACTGTACGTAAGCCTATCTGTAAGGATGCCAATTTTGGAGAAAATTGGTTCATGTCAACCTCAGCCACAAATTTTAGAACCTTAGACTTTATTCATTACTGTTTTTTTTTCAATTGACACAAACGTTTACAAAACTGATTCATTTGTTATTCAATTTACATGAAACTTATACAGTATATGTGGAGGACATGTCTCTACATTGGGGAACTTTCATTTTTCTCTAAGTTCATTTATTCATTTTATAATAGCAATAAACATGCCATATTTGCAAAAAAATTTTGGGGAACTTTCAACATTTGTATTAGGAAAACTAAAGATGTTTTGGAAATTCTAAAGCCCCAAATTCTTTATTATATGTTAATGTGTCAGAAAAGTGTCACAGAATAATTATATCTGAAACTTGTGTTCTGAAGTGTGGACTTGAATATGTGTAAAAAACGTTAAAAAAAACTCCCTTTCTATTTACGCTGCAGTACTGAAACTTGGGACAATTTAAGCACTTTTCATATACAATTAGAAAATTAATATTGGTTGACATTGAACAACTTTCATCTATAATCCTCTGACGCCCCCTTAAGAAATTGTAATTTCCGATTCGATTGGCGTTTGAAATCACCATCAACAAAGCCCAGGGCCAATCTTTAGAATTGTGCAGTTTATATCCAGACACGGATTGCTTCTCACGTGGACAATTATATGATGAGTGTTCTAGAATCGGCAAACCAGACAATCTCTATATCTCAACAGACAATGGAACAACAAAAAAATATTGTATACCCACAAGTATTGTGAAATTAAACATATTAGAAATGTGCGTTTTCTCTTTTCTTTTTTTCCCATTTAACCAGACTGAGCCACAGCAACGCATGGCAGGTACTGCTAGTATGTATGTATATATATATATATATATATATATATATATATATATATATATATATATATATATATATATATATATATATATACTGAAAACTCACACCCCAGAAGTGACTCGAACCCATACTCCCAGGAGCAACGCAACTGGTATGTACAGGGACGCCTTAATCCGCTTGACCATCACGACCGGACATACGGAAGTGATAGCCGAGGCTATTTGAACCACTTCCCCGCCGGCACTCGGATGGTAATCTTGGGCATAGCATTTTATCAAATCACCTCATTCTTTGGGGCACACGTGAGGAACACAAATGCAAACAAGCCTGAATGGTCCCCAGGACTATATACAACTGAAAACTCACACCCCCAGAAGTGACTCGAACCCATACTCCCAGGAGCAACGCAACTGGTATGTACAGGGACGCCTTAATCAGTTGTATATAGTCCTGGGGACCATTCAGGCTTGTTTGCATTTGTGTTCCTCACGAGTGCCCCAAAGAATGAGGTAATTTGATAAAATGCTATGCCCAAGATTACCATCCGAGTGCCTGCGGGGAAGTGGTTCAAATAGCCTCGGCTATCACTTCCTTATGTCAGGTCATGATAGTCAAGCGGATTAATGCGTCCCTGTACATACCAGTTGCGTTGCTCCTGGGAGTATGGGTTCGCGTCACTTCTGGGGTGTGAGTTTTCAGTTGTATATAGTCCTGGGGACCATTCAGGCTTGTTTGCATTTGTGTTCCTCACGTGTGCCCCAAAGAATGAGGTGATTTGATAAAATGCTATGCCCAAGATTACCATCCGAGTGCCGGCGGGGAAGTGGTTCAAATAGCCTCGGCTATCACTTCCTTATGTCCGGTCGTGATGGTCAAGCGGATTAAGGCGTCCCTGTACATACCAGTTGCGTTGCTCCTGGGAGTATGGGTTCGAGTCACTTCTGGGGTGTGAGTTTTCAGTTGTATATAGTCCTGGGGACCATTCAGGCTTGTTTGCATTTGTGTTCCTCACGTGTGCCTCAAAGAATGAGGTGATTTGATAAAATGCTATGCCCAAGATTACCATCCGAGTGCCGGCGGGGAAGTGGTTCAAATAGCCTCGGCTATCACTTCCTTATGTCCGGTCGTGATGGTCAAGCGGATTAAGGCGTCCCTGTACATACCAGTTGCGTTGCTCCTGGGAGTATGGGTTCGCGTCACTTCTGGGGTGTGAGTTTTCAGTTGTATATAGTCCTGGGGACGATTCAGGCTTGTTTGCATTTGTGTTCCTCACGTGTGCCCCAAAGAATGAGGTGATTTGATAAAATGCTATGCCCAAGATTACCATCCGAGTGCCGGCGGGGAAGTGGTTCAAAAAGCCTCGGCTATCACTTCCTTATGTCCGGTCGTGATGGTCAAGCGGATTAAGGCGTCCCTGTACATACCAGTTGCGTTGCTCCTGGGAGTATGGGTTCGCGTCACTTCTGGGGTGTGAGTTTTCAGTTGTATATAGTCCTGGGGACCATTCAGGCTTGTTTGCATTTGTGTTCCTCACGTGTGCCCCAAAGAATGAGGTGATTTGATAAAATGCTATGCCCAAGATTACCATCCGAGTGCCGGCGGGGAAGTGGTTCAAATAGCCTCGGCTATCACTTCCTTATGTCCGGTCGTGATGGTCAAGCGGATTAAGGCGTCCCTGTACATACCAGTTGCGTTGCTCCTGGGAGTATGGGTTCGAGTCACTTCTGGGGTGTGAGTTTTCAGTTGTGTATAGTCCTGGGGACCATTCAGGCTTGTTTGCATTTGCGTTCCTCACGTGTGCCCCAAAGAATGAGGTGATTTGATAAAATGCTATGCCCAAGATTACCATCCGAGTGCCGGCGGGGAAGTGGTTCAAATAGCCTCGGCTATCACTTCCTTATGTCCGGTCGTGATGGTCAA